ATTAATATATTTAGATAAATTTATTAAATTGCATTGTGTAAATCCCTTTGATAATTATCTCTCTATATTTTATGTCAATATTACAAACTACCTTGAGTTATCAAATTGCACATTATCAATCATATATTCTTTTAATATCTTTACGACAAACTTATTTTAATAAATATTACTTACCTGTGCTTAAAATTCCATGACTTATGAACAAGAATGTACATAAACATCTTTCATAATTATTTTCCGATATTTCCATCTAATAATACGCAAAAAAAAAAAAAAAAAGAAAAAATATCGTCAAGGAAATTACGTAACAATGACAAAACAAGCTTAGAATTACAAAAACAAAGGATACAGCCGCGGTTAATTCTTTCAGTTTCACGCAAGCCACTTCAGTCGCCATTTATCTCGCGAAAATTGCGTAATTAACGTTCCATGATACGTTCCATCCATCCCGCTCGATCTTCCTCGTGCAATGTTGTCCAATTCGTGATTCGAGAAAATGTGAATTCGTTCCTAGGAACAAGATGAATAATTTTTACCATCCATTACTGGAACTTGAATCATCGTTCGATCGATATTTTTCAAACGCGAATAAATTTAAATTCGTAAAGATGATTATATCACCTGTGTTTATCGATGATGGCAGTCGAAATTTTCTTCAATTAAATTGTGAATTTTGAACATTATGTAATTATAATCGAAAGGCTTGGAATATTTTTGATTTGTTTAGAATTAAAATAAAATCGAATCGAATTGAAGAAAACTTATGAAAAAGAAGGAGCAATGGTAAAGTTTTCAGAACAACTCGTCCAAATATTCCTTCTCGGAATACTCAATCAAAGGGTTAAAGCTTCGCTTAAAAACCAACTGACATAAGAACGCAATAAACTTGTCCACAATTTTCCACCAGTTTTCCACGAGTCTGAAACATGGTCTACCATCAGGGATCGTAAATTGCCGACAGAACAAAAACAAGGCATGTCAAGTTCCACTGATGTAGGATCGCGAACATACTAATTATCGTGGCTAGACCGCGAATTAGGGGCGTAAGACTAAACGAGAGGATCGTCGTTGCGACGACATACGCCGTCGAGACGTGTTATCGTCGGCCTCGATCTCTTCATCTCTTCCTCTCCTCGTATCCACAGGAAGATGCAAGAAGATTTTTACTACAACACGTGTACAAATTACGTGTACAAAGTATCTTTTTGCGCGTACAAAATAAAATTTTCCATTCGTCATCAAGAATTCGGATATTCTGGACTATGTTTCGTTTTCACAAAATTAAATTGTTGATCGAGAACGTAATAATCGCGTTATTAAATTGCTTAATAATCCTCGATTCGTTCTCTCTCAAAAATATAAATATTACACATTGTACAAAAATATCTTTGAAACAAAAAATAATCAATGATTACTGAAACTGGCCACGAATGAAGTAATTAAGAGATTAAAATTAATCTATCGTTGGCAGTTTAACAGCTAACCTGTATAAATAAATAAATTAACGGATAAATCTATCACAAACACACTGTAACAAAATGGCGAGAAGGAAAGAGGCGGTCCTCCAAGTCGAGATAGAGGACGAGGAGGATTGGGCACAATTGTTGGAAAAAAAGGGTTTGATACTCGCCGACGTTTTCTCGTCGTGGTGCGGCCCGTGCATCGCGATGGTGAGCATGCTTCGAAGCGTGAAAATGGAAGTTGGTGAGGCGATCAGCTACGCGATCGTGAAGAACGATCACATCAGCGATCTCGAACGATTCCGCGAAAGAAGCGAGCCGGTCTGGATGTTCCTCGAAAATGGTCAAATGGTCAATTTGATGTTCGGCGCCAACTGTCCCCAGCTTCGAAAACTGATAATGTCCGAGATCAAACGTGTCGAGTACAAGGAAGAGCCGGAAATGCAGCAACCTGTCAGCACTAGGACCGCGGAGGAAGAGGTTGCGTGGCAGGAGAAGGAGGCCATCAGGTATTCTTGAAACTTTGCCACGATATGGTCAGTCAGTATTCGTATTCTACGTTACATAAATTTTTTTTTTTCATTTTTAACTCTGCGAATTATATGTAATTATATGTAATTGATTACAGATATTTAAGAAAATCAACAAAGTTTCGATACTTTTTTAAGTATTCTTGTGTCAATATAACTTTTTACATATCTTCGTATTTTTTCCCAGTGAATTTGGTTTTAATAATCTAATAAAATATTTCTGGACTGAAAAAAAAAATTAGTTAAGAGTTATTTTTCTTGTAACGTAGGATAATAAAACACTTGACTGACTGTATTATCTGTGAGCATAGTTAGTGGAGTTCAAAAATGGATGGAAAATTAAATAAAACAAGAAAAGCAATCGAGGAACGCGAACGTGCCAAGGAGGAGGCCGAGCGGCTTGAGAAGTACGAGGCGTTCTTGGCTCAGATGATATTCGAGCTGAGCGAGTTCACCGCCCTGGTTTTCTATCCGTGGGTGTTCAAAGACGAGCAGGGACGGCACAGGGACAAGTATCAGTGCCCTCCGTATCTTGAATTGGTCAATACACTGTTCAAACAGAACTACGACGTGCTAGAGGAGATGCGAATACAGTTAACCGAGGAAATAATCGAGAAGATGTTCGTCGAGAGCAACGAGGAGATTACCAAGGCTATTGTAGCAGGTGTGCATTTTTTCGAGCTGAAAAAAATTTCAAAATTTATGGAATCGTGCATACTGATGGAACGTCTATTATCCGAATCGACGTCGAAATGAACATTCTTTTATATTATATAAAAGAATACGTAACTCGTGAGAGAGATTACATTACAATAATAATAATTAATGATCAGAATATCTTAATTTGTCTACGTGTTCGTGGATAATCGAAGTGATTATTAGATAATCGACGTTCTGATTTGATGGAATAAAACGAAATGGAAATCTTGTGGATGGAAGGATAATTATATTCAAATTATTTGTACGTAATAAGTGCAGGATTGACCGATGGTAGAACGATAGCGATGAGACTGAAAGGTAGACGGCCTCATCCCGATTGGCCCGTGGCCTTTCCCTTCGAGTGCCCTAAGGGGGTTAAAAGGTGCCCTACACGAGAGATCAACGATGTAGAGAATTATCTGATACATTTGTTAACCAGCAAAGAGCCACTGCTTCAGGGTAATGCTGTTCCTTTCAATACAACTGATTCCTACATGGAGAGGCACGTGTACGTTCACGAGCCTGATCCTGAGGACGAGGAGGATTTTCCTCGCACCCATCCCGCTGTTTGGGTACCCCCTCAGGTATTCCTTGAATTTAACACACTCGTTCTTTTAAACCTTCTCTTAAGATTAAGAGCGATTAATAGATCATTATTAAAAAGATTTTAAGAATTTTATTTCTTGGTACTATGTATCCCAGATATTATAATCTAAGAAATTCTAATTTTTTTATTAGAATATTTCAAAATTTCAGAAATCAGAAGAAAATTAACACGTTTGAATTTTATTCCGTTTCGTTAAGTCTTGTTTCTTATTCAAAAAAATGAAACACGGTTAAAAAATGATTTTTTGGAATAATTATTGATTATTCAGGCCCGAAGCAAAGTGCACGTGTACACAAGCCTCTTCGCCAGTTATATGGAATTGGTCCATCCTTACGAGGAACCTGTACCGCCTCCTCCATTCTGCGCCTTCAAATTCTATTATTCAAAGTTCCCCATTCTTAGTGAGACGTGTGCCCTTTTCCCGGACGCTATCGAATATTTTGGTGCATTCGAATTCGATGCTCCGCCAATCGCAAGGCGAATAGCATCGTCCCCTGAAGACTTCGAGAGAAAGGTTCCTTTATTTCTCTTTTAAAAAATATACAGGATATTAATATAATAATACTTAATAATATGTTAATAGGAGGATCTAGAAATCAAAACAAAACTTAATGTATAAAGATATTGGTCGAATTTTATTTATTAAATTATAAATAATTTAAATTTTCATTAGATGAGGTAAAGTAGAGATAGAATGATGATGTAAAGTCTGTTTTACTTTCGTATATTAACACCCTGTATATTAGATGAAACAGTCAAAATATTCATTTATCTCATATATATATATATATATATATATA